TGTGTGTGTGTGTGTGTGTGTGTGTGTGTGTGTGTGTGTGTGTGTGTGTGTGTGTGTGTGTGTGTGTGTGTGTGTGTGTGTGTGGTTCTGGAGTATCGAAAGCCATAGACGTATTTGTGGAAAGCATTTAGCCTCCAAAATCCGTAGGTTATTCGAATGTCGTGGTAAAAAAAAATTATCAACTATTTGAAATTACACAACACCATCTTCACTTCAAATGCAACGAAATCGGGAATAAAGGTCAGTCATAATGAATGACAATGAAAACAATGATCATCATTATTATAACAACAACATACCTATCAATATTCATAACAATACAAATAAAACAAAACAAAAAAATGCATATAAACAGATTCTACCAACAAATAACAAGACAAAAGACAATAGACGAGAGGATGTGCGCTTGAACGAACCTCTCTGCAGTGGCCTGATTTGCATATCATTGCAATATATGGTTCTGGAAGCGATGGCGAGACATGATACTGGGACTGGTTTGTCGTCTGAGAGAACTGTGACTTATATATATTTAAAAAAAGGCTCCCTGGTGATTAATTATGGTCTCGTATATAGTTACATTTCTTAATGCCATTTTCGTAGGAAAATGTTTTTGCTTAATTCGGAAAAAAACAACAAAAAAATCCAAAGAAAATGTAATATTCAGGATCAAAATGCAATGACAACAAGAGAGAAACATGACATTAGGAAATTGCAGACGAGCTTTTAAATGGGAAAACATGTTCCTTTGGTCCAGTCACCCCCCCCCCTACCTTCCCCATTCTCTACCTCCCATCCTAGATAAAATCTGCCCCGTCCTCTCCATTCTTCACAGTGCATTCTGTATCTTCTTCATTTTCTAAAACATTCTATCCTTTCCTTTGAAAGAGGGGGGTGGAGAGAGAGAGAGAGAGAGAGAGAGAGAGAGAGAGAGAGAGAGAGAGAGAGAGAGAGAGAGAGAGAGAGAGAGAGAGAGAAGGAGAGGGAAAGAGGGAGAGGGAGGGAGGGAGGGAGGGAGGGAGGGAGAGAGAGAGAGAGAGAGAGAGAGAGAGAGAGAGAGAGAGAGAGAGAGAGAGAGAGAGAGAGAGAGAGAGAGAGAGAGAGAGAGAGAGAGAGGGAGAGAGAGAGAGAGAGGGGGGGGGGAGGAGGGAGGGAGAGAGGGAGGAGGGACAGACAGACGGAAAGAGAGAGAGAGAGAGAGAGAGAGAGAGAGAGAGAGAGAGAGAGAGAGAGAGAGAGAGAGAGAGAGAGAGAGAGAGAGAGAGAGAGTAGACAGGCAGGTAGACAGCCACAGAAAAACAAGAAAGACTGACAAAAAAGAGGATAGGAATGGAAAGAGACAGACAGCCTAAGAGAGACATGGAAACAAAGAGGGACAGAGACCGAGACAAGTCAAAATGCATAAGATGACTAAAAAAAAATGATTTAGCACGACAGCGCCTGGGACCGGCTGGGCAACGCTGTGACTCACCGGGAAATGTCCTTACTTGCTCTTGCTCTCTCTCTCTCTCTCTCTCTCTCTCTCTCTCTC